CCGGCATAGTACATATTAGCAAAATCTTGAATTAGCCTTTTATTTATTCCTCAGAATCCAAATGAATTTGTCAGTCAAGATTTTATTCATACCTTTTTTTTCTCTGCCTGTTGAAATCTTTCTTCTCCTTCAAGGCCCAAGAAAACTTCTCTGACATACCCCCAATTGAAAGTGACCTCTACCTCCTCAAATTTCCCTGGAGTTCTGAATTTCTCTTTTACCTGATCTACTTTATTCATGTAATTCATTTGTAATATATCTACAGAAAGTAAAAAATAAGTTCATGGAAGTGAGGTCTATGTCAGGTTTTTTTTTTTAATCTTTGTATCTCCCATCTTAGCACAACCAACCCAGTACACAGTAGGTGTTTAAACAATGCTGATGTTGCTGTTGTTGTTGTTAATTTGATTTTGAATTTGAATTGGTGAACACAAATAAATGAAATGGTATGGAGATTTCACAAAAATGTTTGAATTTTACATGTCAAGAGCCCCGCTTAGCTGCCACTTTTACATGATTCATCCACCCCCATTGACTTCTATGTAAGAACAACTCAATTCTGAAGCCACAGAACTGTTCACAGACACTACCCTGTATCTCTTACTTCTTGATATTTTGTCATGGTCACTGCTCTTATCTGGCAATATCCATCATAAATATTGTATGTTTGGTGAAGCCCATTTTCTTTCAGAGTCCCATGAGTGTACTCATAAGCTTTCACTTCACCTAACAAACAATAGGTATCGGCATTCATCTTTAGCCAAAATATATACAAATACACCTATTGATTTGGCATCCTATAGGCACACCTTTGGTGTTATAAATTTCCATCTATACTGAATGCCTCTGACTTTAGGGACTGAGTAAAGGAAATATATATATCATTTGCAATCCAAGAAACAATTGATGACCTGTGACATGAAAAGAATGCTTCCAAATCACTCTATGAAGTGGTATCTCTGGCCTATTGCAACTTAGCACCTTCCTACACATTTATAAGTTTGCAACCTATTACAGATTTGCAGTTTGAAAACCAGTGAATTTCCCTACATGCCACCTTGCAAGGAATAAAGTACCAGTGTGTGTTTTCACTGCCTCCCTGCATATCCGGGTAGTAAAATATTCACGACTTAGAGAATTATGCAGTGTGTTTGCAACAGCAGCTTTTGAAAGCCACTTTTTCCATTAAAACTGTCAGTTTGGTAATACAGCCATGATTTCAAAGCAAAGAAGCATTATGGCTCAAATCAAAGACAGATTACATATTTTATGTTTACATATTCTGGGGCCTTAACCGTGTAAAGTTGTTGGATATTTTTTTCTTTAGACTTCATGTTCATCTCATCCATTTTGGAATTGGAATGTATCACCCTCATTATGAACCTAATAAAACCACTGTGTATAATGTCTGCACCGCTGCAGTCCATCTAGGTATTGTGCCAGCCCCATTCACTAGGTACTGCAAAGAAAAAAAGGGTTACTGAGAGACTAGTGAAAGGTCTTTTACTGTTGTTTTGGTTTTTTTGCAAATGAACCCCTATAAATCTTTCTACTCCCTTATGATTCACTCCACACACAGATGGCCAGGAGAGAGACGGCTGGGGCTCCAGCACTTGCTTATCAGATGGCATCTTTCCTGGTCAACCACCAAAGTTGTCAAACAAATTCAGCATCAAATGAAAGGAAGCCCCAATTAGGTTGACTTTTCAGGAGAAAATGGACTAACATCTTTGAGGGCCATATTTATAGGTAGAAACTGTAGCTGGGTTTCAAGATGAAGAAGGGAAAAATTACTTGGCAATGAGACAATGTGGATCTTAATTGCAGCTTCCATTGAAGGCTGAGGCAGGCTGTATTTGTGGGAAAGAAGGAAATCAAAAAGAAACAAAAGATCTTAAAATAACAGTATTTTCCCCCAAGAACTTTATGAAATGTTACAACTAAACCTGAGACTAACAGGAACACAGTCTTTTGAACACAGTGCTCTTGGTATGTCTGGCTGAGCTTCTGAATGTACCACTGCCATAACTGCCCACACTGCCAAATGAGAGAGAGGGGCCTCTGTGAGACTTAATTGCTGTTTTGTTTTTAGTCTATTTGACTATGACACAGTAGACAGAAAAATGGCCTTGGGGCCAGGAGGACCTAAGTTCAAGTCCCAGCTCTGACACATTAACTAGTCTTGTGACTCTGGGCAAGTCACTTAATCTCTCCATGCTGTAGGCAACTAAGACTGTAAGTTTCAGAGGAAATTTGATCTGCACTGGTAAAGGGCATTTCCTCATCAGGCAGTTCCATCTATCAGTGAAATCACAGATCATTACTATCCCTTTGGCACAAAACCCCAGAAAGTGAATAAAGCTGATATTCAGACCTATTGACACCGCATCCCCATGGGTGTCACCTTTTTAGAGGTGAGGTCTGGGCCAAAGAATTATACTGGACTAGATTCTGCCAGTGGTCCTAGTCCTCTGAATGAGTTAATATAGTTGCCAAAAACGGCCAATTTACAACTAAGTATTTAGGCACCAAACGAATCTGGATCAGAGCCTTCAAGCCAAAGGCAAAAGAACATGGCACCAGAAAAGGGGAGCACAAATGAGGGGACATAAACAGTATTGGATTTTGAGCTGTAATATTCATGGTTTAACAATTCATGGATTAAGAGCAAGGTTAATTTGCAGGCACAGTTACACAGGGGGAAAAGGTATGCAATTCATCCTATTATTTTTAAACAATACCTCCATATTTTAGTACATTATTTCCTAGGAGCTCTCCTCCACCATCATATTTTGTTATTGTTGTTATTAAAGACCAACTTCCTTGCACCTTAACCTTGGAAGACAAAATGGTTGCTTCTCCACCACCACAAATATAATGTATGCTAATCACCAAGAGGACACTGAAAATGATTTTACATGTGAAATGGTTGGATTATGCCCCTAATGTTCCACTCCTGGGGTAGAATGTCAAAGCTCAGAAAAGCAAAATGGGAAATGCCCTCAAAATGGGCTCATTTGTTTCAGTGAGGAGTTCCCTCCATGAAAGCTGGAATACTAAATTCCCTGGACATCTTCTCTGTGGGACTTAACCTGGGGTTTGTGAACTTGTCTGTGATATAGCAGCTAAATGGTGCAGTAGATAGAACATTTGGACTTGAGTCAGGAAGGAGTAAGTCCAAATCTGGCCTCCCACCTTTACTAGCTATGTGACCTTGGGCAACTCACTTCACTGCTGCATGTCTCAGTTTCTTTATCGTAAAATGGGGATAATGATGGTATCTACTTCCTAGGATTGTCCTGAGGACAAAATTAGATAATATTTGTAAAGCACTTTGTAAACCTTAAAGTGCTATATAAATGCTAGCTGTTTTATTATTTTTTTTTTATATTTTGGTAACTGTATTTCAACATCATTGGTTTGCTTTGTAACACTATGTGTTTTATTTTAAAACTTTTTTTCTGAGAAGAGGTCCACAGGTGGCATCAGACTGCCAAAGGGTCCTATAACATAACTAAACCACAGAACCATTCTTGTGCTGCTATGGCCAAAGGAAGTAGGTGATGGCAATAGGCAGATGGATAAGAATAGGTGATAACAATCTCCAGCGGTCTTCCTCATACAGTTGCATAATGAATTTTTTTTTTGCAGAGGCCATTTTTAAATGCGTTTTAGTGTCTTTTGCCCAGATCAGCAGGAGACTACGTACAGATTTGCTCAGCAAGGACCAGTCACATTGATAACGCATGTTGGAAAAACAAACATGATTATGTAACTTTTCCGTTTATAAAGCCGGTCACTGTATAGCAGAATAGATCAGTTTCCCACCTACTGGGGAAATACTGTGCATTTCAAAACCATGTACCATATTGGCCCATTAGACAGAGCTTCTCCAGTGTGCTGGGAACACAGCTCATACAGACACAGGGCCCCTCTGCATTCACAGTGCTGCGGGTAAGGATGAATTGTCAGCTTTAACGTTGAGTCTCTTGGCATTGGTCCATGTGTGTTGCCATTCTAACATTATTTAAACACAGTGTGCTTCATATTTATGAGCTTAAAAAAAATTCTGGTCCTACACTTCTGGCTTTCTTAAGAACCATCCAGGGAAAAGGGTGTGACCTCACAGCCCAGCATATAACAAACCTCATTCAAATGCAGGCAGTGTATTGGGAATCTTAATTCTATTAGAGCATGGACAATGAATGTATTTGTGTTAGTTACTTTCCCACTTTGAGGTTAAACAAACCAGTGAATGGGACTCCGGGTGGCAACAGAATGAGAGCCTGCATTGGATGATGCGGGCAGACAAATACCAGCCAATACCAGCCAGGATTTCGGAAAAAAAAAAAAACCAAGGAGCCTCCTTCCTGCCTTCCCATGACTTTCCGACAATTTGGATTCTACAAATCTTAATGAATAGCAAAAAATCCCCCTCTAATGTCTTCATTCAGCAGTTCGGTTCCGAGGGTCACATGATACATTTGTCAGTATGGCTGCTCCTCAGAAACTGTGCCTCAATTCAAGGGGCGTCTGAATGAGCCACAGAAAATTTGTTCCGTCTACCCCTGTATTAATATCCCTCACTGAATAAAGTTCTAATTTATGATTTCCAGACTGAATGACATTCTGTAAACCTCCCTCCCAATGCCCACCACAGGATTTTTCCCACTGATTTGATTAAATTATCACATTGCCACTTAAAAACCTTAGATTATAATTCGGTCTCAGGCACAGGTCTTCCTCCATTGTAGCACCCATCTGCTGTTTTTAAGAATTACTCCCCCCGAAGGGATATGCTACACATAAATACCCTTGGACCACCTGCCACTGGGTTACAAAATCTTTTACTAAACATTATTATCAATACTAGGAACCAGAAAAAAAAACGCATTGATAAAAACTAGTGAATTAACATAAGTCTAATCTCTATAGATAGGGGACAGTGTAATAAGATGACACTAATTCTTTCAGTTTAGCCCTCTCTTTCTCCAGCTTACCTCTAAATGATCTAGGCTTGTAGTTCTGTCATTAAGAAGCTTCCTTGTCCTTTTTCTCTGAACAAAAGATCAATGCGAGACATTAAAAATTCTCTGCAAACAAGGTGTATGTTAACATACTGTGCATAAAGAAACAATGAGAATTGTTACGGGGCTGATGTTGGACTGATGTCAGTAAATCACAGCCAATAAGCATTTAGTAAGCACCTATTGTGTTCTAGGCACTGTGCTAAGTGCTGGAGAGACAAAAAAAAAAAGGCAAAACATGTCTCTCCTTTCAAGGAGATCACAGCCTAAAGATGGGGACAACATGAAAACAACTATGTACAAACAAAATAGATATAGATTAAATTGGAGATGATTAAAAGAGGATGTTCACTAGCACTAAAGAGCGGGAAAGGTTTATTGCAGCTGGGACTTGAAGGAAACCAGGGAATCCAGGAAGGAGAGATATTAGCAAGAAAATTTCAGGACTGGGGAGGGCAGTGAGTGAAAATGCCTGTATCTGAGAGATAGAGGAAGGATGCCAGTGTCACTGGACTGAAGAGCATGTGGGGATGAGGAAGGTGTAAGAAGAGTGGAAAGGTACTAGTGGACCAGGTTGTGAAGGGATTTGAGTGCCAGACAGAGGATTTTATATCTGTTCCTGTAGGTGATAGGGAGCCATAGGAATTTACTAAGTAGGGAAGTGACTTGGTCAGACTTTCATTTTCAGAAGATTAATTTGACAGCTGAATGGAGGATGGACAAGAGGAAAGAAACTTGAGGCAGGAAAACCAACCAGCGGAATATTGCAATAGTCCAGATGTGAGGTGATGGGGCCCTGCACCAGGGCAGTAGAGGGGTTAGAGGAGAGGAGGGAGCTTGCATGAAAGATGGTTCAAAGGCAAAATTAACAAGACTTGGTAATAGATTAGATATAATGAGTGAGATTAAGGATTTGAGGATGTGAAGAGAATCAAGTGAATAAACAGGAAAGGGTAGGTTAAAATATTGGCCAAGTTCACAGGATCAGGAGGCAGCAAGCTATAATGAGGAGAACCCAGGGTTCTAATCCTTGCTCTGCTATTAACTGGTTATGTGATCTGGAGCAAGTTACAATTTCTCTGGGCCTCAATTTCCTCATCTAGAAAATGAGCAGATTAGAATAGAAAATAGCTAAAGTCCTTTCCAGCTCTAAAAGCCCATGAACCTGTGGTACTTAAGACTAGAGATGACCCCTAATCAATCAGCCTATCCTCCTCTTTCTTAGTTACCTACCCAGATAAATAGTATCCTTTGTATTCTTAAGTATATGCATGGGAAGAAGAAGCTATGTAAATTATCTCAATAATTTATCAAAATACCCCAATCTTTTCAGCATTTTGTATGAGGATCATGCTTCTTTCTGAATAGATGACATCTTTCCTAATGTCTCAAGTTGTCCAGCAGAGTTACTGTCTATCTATCATAGGGGTTCTTAACCTTTTTTGTGTCATGGACCCCTTTGGCAATCCAGTGACCCCTTCTCAGAATAATTTTGTGGGATTTTTTTAAACTTCATAATTGAAGGAAATGCTAAATTTCAGTTAGAGGTTAGTAAAAATAAAAATGCGATATTTTCCCCTCCAAGTCCATGGACCCCCTAAAATCTGTCTATGGACCCACTGGAAATTACCAGGTAAAGAACTCCTGATCTAGGCTAACAAGGAATCTTCTCAGGAAAATTAAAAGAATAGATCAACTTCATTTCTTGTTAGATTCAGGTGTTTATCTTTTAGAATCATGACTTCATTAAAACATCATGGTATAATGAAGGTAGAAGACATATCAAATGAGACAAAAAGGTCTTCTTTCCAAAATAACCAGCCCAAAAATAAGGCTAGCACTATCTTTGAACTTTTTGAAGAAAGAATGCTTCTGTACATGACTAAAAAAATTCTAACAGGTAGTCTAAAATTATAAATACCAATAAATCCTTAAAAATAAAGTTTTTAATAGGCTATAAAGATAAGTAAACTGAGAAAACTTCTACAGACAGAACACTGAAAAGTTCTTTTCAAGAAATAGTAATACACTTGACTTACAATCAGATTAGTACAACAGAAGGTTCTTGGGAAAGTTTTTGTTTGTTTTTTAAGTTTCAAAAATTTAGGTTATTAGACCCTTGACTTTAGATCCTAGATTAGAGTCCTAGAAATGGTATGGCGAGGTGTTGACAATTCATGACTTTAACTTTAAGAAATTGCTCCTTCCCCCAAGTTGCTGGGATGCTGTACTACTCCTTTCTCCACAAAGCTGTCTACTTTTTAGTTCATTAACCTCTCTGCCCCCATTGTGGGGGGTGAAGGGGCAGGGAAAAGGAGATTGCTTAAAACTTCTCTTTGTTTAAGATTTTTTCAATGTACACCTTACATCAGGTATAGAACAGATACTTTACTTCCTACACACGAAAAGAATGCTTGACAAAAAATAATGGATTCAATAACTTAATTTATAGTGCTGCTTAAACCTCACCAGAGCATAAAAAAATTTTAAGGACTACTAATTAGGCATTTTATATTTCACCTCAGCATTGTACTATCCAACAACTCCCCATATGCGCCTGCTGGTAAAATGGCCATGCTTGATCCAGTTGCCTTTTTGGTAGTCATCCTCTTTCCCAGAGTGTTGGAGTAATTTCCAGGGATTCCTCTCTTAGTACCATTCAGTTCCAATCTGATGGGATCAAGAATCTTCACACTTCTCAAACTCAAAACGTCACCTTCAAACATGGACACATCCATATCCAGATAGATAAATAGGCAGCCCAAACCCTAACCTCAGGCTTGCAGAGACAGAGCTTTAGATGCTCTGTGCTCATAGCTATATGGAGCCTATGGTTAGGAGGTAGTGTTAACCGTCCTTTCACCTATCCCACTTGGGAAGCAGCTTGAAATAGTTCTGACACAATTCTCAGCTAGAAAAAAAAGAGAGAACTAAAGCTCACTCTCTCTCTGTGTGTCTGTCTATCTCTCTGTCTCTGTCTGTCTCTGTCTCTCTGCCTCTGTCTTTCTATATCTCTCTCTGTGTCTCTCTCTGTGTCTCTGTCTCTGTGTCTGTCTCTCTCTGCTCTCTGTCTCTGTCTCTCTCTCTCTCTCTCTCTCTCTCTCTCTAACATCCACGAGTCATCAGCAATTCTAGCTCTGCAGCCAACAGGGGACTCATAACCATCTGAAAGTACAAGTCATTTACCCCTGAGTCACATGACTGAAAGCAAACTCCCCAAAGCTCATATATGATCAGCCAGAATGAGGACAGGACTTTTCAGAATACTCCATGGAGTGGCTGATCATTAAAGGAGGGCAAATTTCAAAGATGAATTACTTTGAAACTTCAATGGATCTGCAGGCTCATCAACGTGGGCATTCCTTCCTATATCACATCCTATCCATGCCCCCTCATCATCTCATTCAACTCTGTGATCTCCAGTAAATTGTCTACAGGGTTCCTCTCCCTACCCCTACAAATATTCAGGCAGCCTTTTTCTAGATACCATAGATACCAATGGAACAGACAGGCTATCCGTGAGTTATCCCTTGCTCTCACCAAATGACTAGTTCACCTCATGTTCTGATCATACAGTTCTCTGATGACATACTATACACTGATTCTCTTGCAAAATCCTTGATTGGTTAAAAAAAAAAGTGAGCTAATAGGTAGAAATCCCATGGCAGATTGTTGGGTTAACATATTTCATTCAATCCCATCATCACTAATTATCTGGGAATCCCATACCCACACACATGCACACATACACATAGCTACCACACCAGGTGATTACCTCATTTCTCTACTCCATTTTGCTAGTATGGCTATCTATAGTCAGAGTTACATGTTGTGACATCTGTAGGAGACTTGTCCAGCTAATCATACTGAGGATTCCCTTGGGATCTAATACCTTTCTGAAAATGTGACCAATGCCAATTGTACCAAATTATATTTGTAGACTTACAAAGGTTTTAATACTATCTCCAGGATTAGATAGAAGATGATAAGTACTTCTCCATCTTATATTCTTTAAGAATCACCAAATAAATACATCTCTTTTACTTACAACAGGTAGGAAATCTTAAACTATTTTCTTCCTAGTAAGTACTCTCATAGCAAAACATGTCCCTCTCTTTTCCACAACTTGGGATTAGAACAATAAACCTGGAGAATGTTTCATGATTCTTATACCATGACAAAGTCCAATGGAAGTTTTATTGAGTATGAGACATTCCTATTGCCATTTTACTAGCTAAATTTAGATTTGGGGTCAAGAACCATAGCTAGGTAACTTTTTTATGTAATATATTGCATATAACCATGCATATGTAGGTACTTAGTAATTTTAAAATAATAATAATGAAAGTCCTGACAGACAAAACCCCCTGATTATCAACAGAATAGACAGAGTAAGAACAGTATGGTGATTTTAGCTTTTCAGTCTAGCCTATCAACAAAGGAAGGCTTCTACTCATCGGAATGAGAAAGTAGTTTAGCCTCAGTTCCTACTTAGCCCTTGACCTCAACTGTGACTGACAAGTGGAATGGTGATGTGGAGATGTGAGCAGACACCTGTCCACTGAAAAATGGACTGAAGCCAACAGCTCATTACACATTGAACTACTAAACAGCCATTGTGTAGCAACGACTTTTCATCACCTGGGTCAGATAGAAACCAATAACCTAGAGGTGAAAGGCTGTCTATCAAATTCCAGTTCCCACTTCCCTAGTCCATTCAATCCCATCTATTCAATTTTAAGGACTCTCTTCTATAGGTTTGTGCAAAAGAGGCCATGTGATTCAATAGAGTTCAGACGGTTATTATTTATGGGATGAACTGAAAGGATTATAGATTCGATCACAATTAAGTTCTCCCCTAATGAATCTGCAGGCTTTAAATAATCTTCTCAAAGTGCACATCACTTTTCTTTTCTCCTTAGATGCTCTTGAGAGAAGGCACACTGGGTGATTTCAATGGTAGATGCTCACAACCCTGAAGTGGATTTGACATGTAGACTATGCTATTAAGCCCAAGACTGTGAAGTCCCTACTAGTTGTAGTACTCATGATGTCTGGGCACGTATTCATAAATTAGCAGCCCAAGTGTTTA